GTAGCCACGTGCACCTGTAGTCCCAGCTACTCGGGAGGCTGAGACAGGAGAATTGGCTTGAACCTGGGAGGCGGAGGTTGCACTGAGCTGAGATCGCACCACTGCACTCCAGCCTGGGTGACAGAGCGACGCTCCATACCCCTCAAAAAAAAAAGATAAGTGAGGCACAGTTTCTGCTCTTGGGGAGATGACTGTGAAATCCCCAGTGTGGTTCCATCCTTGCCATCAGCATGGTTCTGCCCAGGTGGTTGGTGGGAACCTCAGGGAGGCTCCAGAGAGATGAGACTGTGCCCAGGAGCCAGTTGGGTTTTATCAGGCTCAGGGACATGGCCAGCGGCTGCTCAGCAGGGCTGCCATGGGCAGAGGTGAGGAGACAGAAGAACTTGTGATGTCAGGGAGACCTTGGGTTCCACCAGTGTGGTCTCAGCCACTTGGAGAGCTGCTTCAAGACAGTCGTCTTGTGAAAAACACTTCCTGAAACCATAATTTTGGGTTGTTCGTTAGCCCTGAAATATTCCCCAAGGCAGAGGAGATCTCAATTAGAATGTGGCTTTACAAACTTTGTCATCTGAAATACACTTTGAATACTTTGGCCTCCTGTTGAGTAACATACTTCGTGCCCTCCTCATTTGACAGCCAGAAGGAAAAGGAGTCAAGTCGAATGTTAGCCTTGTTGCTGATGAAGGACACTGACTTTAGTTATGTGGCTCCAAGAGCTTCCTCCCATATTCCCTTAGAGTGAGGCACACCTGTCCTTCACAGATGCAGCAGGGCAGCGACAGGCCTCCCTCTCAGGAGCAGAGCCCGCCTTGCGGAGTGCCCTGTGGAGAAGAGCACTTTCCACAGATGGCAGCCCCAAGAAGAGAAAGGGCTGGGGGTTCTCTCTACACCCCACTCTCTGGTGGGCGTGCCCCTCCAGCTGAGCTAGAGTTGTACCAGGAGGTCTTCTGTGACCCAGAGAACCTGGGAAGCGTGGTTTCCTGACAGTACCTGTCCTGGAGCAGCCCTGTCTTGTGGCAGACTTGGTCCTCCCCGCTGCAGGGTGTGTGTGGAGTCCTGGGAGGGCCCCCGCCCCGCCTGTGCCCTGGCATGCACCTTCCTTTCAGGACTCACCTGTCCTTTTGGAACTGGCCAGCTGTCTCCACATGTGGATCGGAGCTTGCCTGGACACAGTTCTTTTCTGCCGACCTCCTCCTGCTGCCGCCCTGAGAGCCTGGTGTCCTTTCTGTACCTCTGCTCCTGCTGGCAGTGTCGCCCTTCTCAGCTCCCAAGCAAGAACCCACAGCTGTCAAGCCCCATTCCATTCACTTGTCACTATCTGACCTTTAACAAGTCTTACATCTGACTTACCCTTTTGTGGTACACTAAGCCCTTCTCACCTCACATTTGGGTTACAGAATAGCCATTTATTAGGTCCTCAGACCTGCTTCACGCTTTCTTACCAATAGGCCTAGCCAGATAATTTTCCTAAACTACCTTTTGTCTGCCTTAAAGCTCCCAGTGCAAGACTTCTATTCCCCCATGTCTGCACCCACAGGAGCGCTCACATGCTTGCCGCTCAGCTCCCCCACTAGCCCTGCTCTCAGTGCTGCTCCCCTCCTTATCTGAGCCCTTTTGGTGTTTCCCTCCTCTCTCTGCCTGGCCAAACCCAGACTGCAAACCCAGACTGCCCCTGATATACACTGTCATCTGTGTCCTCTAAGCCCAGCCTCCTGCCCTTGTTTCATGTCTCTTACCCTCCATTTTGGATTTTTTTGTGGACTTGTGTTAGTTATAATATTTTTTCTTTTGATGAAAGTTGTGGGGGTTGGGCGTGGTGGCTCATGCCTGTAATCCCAGCATTTTGGGAGGCTGAGTGGGGGTGGATTACCTGAGGTCGGGAGTTTGAGACCAGCCTGGCCAACATAGAAGAAACCTCATCTCTACTAAAAATACAAAAATTAGCTGGGTATGGTGGCATGCATGTGTAATCTCAGCTACTTGGGAGGCTGAGGCACAAGAATCGCTTGAACCTGGGAGGCAGAGGTTTCAATGAGCTGAGATCGCGGCACTGTACTCCAGCCTGAGTGACAGAGTGAGACTCTATCTCAAAAAAAAAAGAAAGAAAGAAAGTTATAGGGAAGGCACTGGCATAGGTCAGGAACTTGGAGCTGTTCTCCTAAAGGCAGGGATGGGCTCCCTCATCAGATTCTTACCCCCGCCCAGCACAACCTTGAAAACCTCAGACCTGTGCCATGGTGAGGGTGTCTCGTGAGTTTGGCCTCCAGTGATGAGATCTTGCACTAACAGGCTTGTGTGAGTCTGGGCCATGCCCGGGAGGGCAGCAGAGAGCAGAGCTAGAAGTTCTGACTGGAGCCTTTTGTTTCATCGGCATCCAGGCCCAGGGAGGGGAAGTGACTGCCACCGTGCTGGAACTGAGGCTCCTAGGCTGCCTGGCATTGACCCTTTGTGCTGTGCTTGGTGGTGGGCAGCAGGTTATTGGATAATCACAGGCACTCTTGACAAGGGAGTTGTTCTGCTTTGGTTGAATGTGACTTTTAGTGTTAATCATCCAGTGTGTGGAGCTGAGGCTCCACTTGCCTCTGTGCCTTGGCTAGCACTTGTCCACCACCACACGCGGTCCCCTCGATTGACCTAAAATCTCTCTTCTAGTTGCACATCATTGAAGTTGGACAGCCTGCAGCGGGAAACCAACCTTTTGTAAAGAAAGCAGTAGATGTGTTTTTCCCTCCAGAGGCACAGACTGATTTTCCAGTGGCTATGCAGGTATGAATGTGCTGCTCTCTAAACATCTTCGTGTCCTAAAATCTACTCTAGCACCTTCCCAAGATACAGGAGGCTGCCATTTTTAGTCTACTTCTGCTGTCTCCTGCCACC